TTGGCTTCCCCCCCGGTAGCTCCCGAGCATCCGGGAGGCGGTGGCTGGGTTACTGTCCGAGGGAAGCATAGTCGAAAATCGAAGCACACAGTTCCCCACCAACCACTTCACGTTTCAAACTAATTTTCCCCACTCAGCGACACACAGAGAATAAAACTCTGATTATTGGAGACTCCATCGTCCCAAACGTGAAGCTAGCGAAGTCAGCGGGCATAGTTAGGTGTATACCCGGGGCCAGAGCGGGCGACATCGCATCTCATTTAAAGTTGCTGACAAAGACTAAAGGTAGATTTGATACAATCGTAATTCATGTCGGGACTAATGACTCCCGACTACGCCAGTCGGAAGTCACTAAGGTTAATGCGGAGTCAGTGTGTACTTTTGCTAAGACGATGTCGGACTCCGTAGTGTTCTCTGGACCCCTCCCAAATCAGACCAGTGATGACATGTATAGCCGCATGTCATCACTCAACCGCTGGCTGTCGAGGTGGTGTCCAGCACACGATGTGGGCTTCATAGATAACTGGCAGTCTTTTTGGGGAAAACCTGGTCTGCTAGCTAGAGACGGCATCCATCCCACTTTGGACAGTGCAGCTCTATTCTCTAGAAACATAGCAGAGGTTAGAGTCCAAAACCTTGACAACAACACAGAGTTCAGACCAGGAGGCAGAGCTGCAGTCTTACACGCTTCTCTGCGCCTCCCTTAGATCTGTCTCCCAGTCACTATAGCTGTAATTCTGAATCGAACTGTAGTTATACTATAGGTACTGTGTCTGTCCCCCGGTCCAGACCCGTTTTTATAAGTCATCCAAACATAGAAAAAAAAGGCGTAAATCGTCAAAATCTCATTAGAATCAAAACAAAAAAATCAGAAGATTCACTGTGGACTTTTGAACATTAGGTCCTTAGCATCCAAATCTCTTTTAGTGAATGATCTGATATCAGATCAGCATATTGATTTACTTTGTTTGACTGAAACCTGGCTGTATCGAGATGAATATGTTAGTTTGAATGAATCCACTCCTCCCAGTCATTTTAGTACTCATATACCTCGAGACACCGGACGAGGTGGTGGAGTAGCAGCTATTTTTAATTCTGGTCTTCTAGTTAACCCTCGACCAAAGCTGAATTTTTCCTTCCTTTGAAAGCCTTGTTCTTAGTCTTTCACATCCAGTCTCAAGAACCTTTCAGCCAGTTCTAGTTGTTGTAGTTTACCGCCCTCCTGGCCCATATTCTGAATTTCTATCTGAATTTGCAGAATTTTTTATCAGATTTAGTCCTTAGCAGTGATAGAATAATTGTTGTAGGTGACTTCAATATCCATGTGGATGTTGATAATGATAGCCTTAGCACAGCTTTCATGTCATTATTAGACTCTATTGGTTTCACCCAGGGTGTAAACGAACCTACTCATCGTTTCAACCACACCCTGGATCTTGTTTTAGCTTATGGCATTGAAATCCAAAACCTTACAGTTTTCCTAGAAAATCCTCTTCTATCAGACCATTTCCTTATTACTTTAAACTTTGTCCGACCAGAATTATCTCTGCTTAATAAAAATGTGCTCTCTAGAAGTTTATCTGATAGTGCTGTAGCTAGATTTAAGGAAGCTATTTCAGCTGCTTTTGATTCAGTACCGTGTTTCAACCCAGTTGGAAACTCTTATGATAGCTTTAGTCCCTCTCAGCTAGATCAGTTTGTTGATAGTGCAGTGGATTCGCTGAGAGTTACTCTTGATTCGATTGCTCCCCTAAAACTTAAGGTTATCAAGCGGCAGAGAATAGCTCCATGGTTCAACTCAGAAACCCGTACTCTAAAACAATCGTTGCGAAATTTTGAAAGAATAAGGCGCTCGACTAAAACGGTAGAATCTTGTTTTTTCTGGCAGGATAGTCATAGAAAATATATGAAGGCTCTACGTCACACTCGAGCTGCCTACTACTCCTCTCTAATTGAGGAAAACAAAGGCAATCCTAGATACCTTTTCAGCACTGTAGCCAGGCTGACAGAGAGTCATAGCTCCATTGAGCCTTGTATTCCTTTAGCCCTCAGCAGTAATGACTTCCTGAGTTTTTTCAACAACAAAGTTTTAGACATCAGAGACAAAATTGGTAACCTCCTGCCCTTACCTGGTGCAGATACGTCTGATACGGCAGAGACAGTTCCAGGACCAGATATTAGTCTAGACTGTTTTTCTCAAATCGACCTTTCAGAGCTAAATTCAATTATTTCTGAGTCAAAACCGTCAACCTGTCTTTTAGACCCAATCCCAACCAAGCTGTTTAAGGAAGTCTTTCCCTTAGTTAGCAACTCTATATTAGATATGATCAATTCGTCTTTACTGGCAGGATATGTACCACAGTCATTTAAAGTAGGGGTAATCAAACCTCTACTCAAAAAACCTATTCTAGATTCAGGAACTCTAGCTAACTACAGGTCTATATCCAACCTTCCTTTTATCTCGAAGATCCTGGAGAAGGTGGTAGCTAATCAGCTGTGTGACTTCCTCAATGACAACAGTTTATTTGAGGAGTTTCAGTCAGGATTTAGAGTCCACCATAGCACTGAGACTGCACTAGTTAAAGTTACAAACGATCTACTTCTAGCTTCAGACAGGGGACTTCTCTCTGTGCTCGTCTTGTTAGATCTTAGTGCTGCTTTTGACACCATTGACCATCAGATACAATTATACAGACTAGAACATTTACTTGGAATTACAGGGACTGCTTTAGGTTGGTTTGAATCCTACTTATCAGACCAATCTCAGTTTGTACATGTTAATGATAAGTCCTCTATGCACGCCAAAGTTAGCCATGGAGTGCCACAAGGTTCAGTGCTTGGACCAATTCTCTTTACATTATATATGCTTCCTCTGGGAAATATTATGAGGAAGCACTCCATACAGTTTCATTGTTATGCAGATGATACTCAGTTTTATGTATCAATGAAGCCCTATGGCACCAGTCAGTTATGTCAGCTAGAAACGTGCCTTAAGGACGTTAGGACCTGGATGACCAGAAATTCTTTGCTACTTAACTCAGACAAGACTGAAGTTATTGTGCTTGGCCCTAAAAACCTCAGAGAGACTTTTTCTAGTGATGTGACTGTCCTTAGTGACATCAGCCTGGCATCTAGCACCACTGTTAGGAATCTAGGAGTTCTTTTTGATCAAGATATGTCCTTTAGCTCTCACATCAGGCAAATTTCAAGAACAGCCTATTTTCACCTTCGTGGGATTTCTGCCTTTTAATAAGGCAGTTTTTTCTTACCACTGTAACTTTTGCTGCTTTGCTAAAGTGCTCATGATGGATAGGCCGGATCTTTGTAATATAGCAATAAGTAAGGTCTTTTACCTGCTTTTCGTAAAGTGTCTCGAGCAGTAGCGGAGCGAGTGTGGGGGCAGAAGGTGCGGCCGCCCAGGGCCCACTGCTGTCTCAAGGGGCCCACTTTGAGCTAAATTTAACATGCATTTTTGTTATTTAGTTGAATTTTCTAATAAAGTTAGTTTGACTAGGTCTGAGTGTTTCTTTTCTTTTGCCGCAATCAAGACACACAATGTATTTTATAGAGCAGAGAGGGGCCCCCCTCCACTGCCAAGGGGGTTCTCAACTTCGGCAGCAAACAGCACCAGCAGGGTACTGTGGCCTGTTTGTGATGTCATTGATTCCACCTCCTACCACCCCCTTTGCTGGGCCCCCGCTGCTGTCTGGAGTTTTAAAAACCTAGTCGTCTGTCGGCTTTATTTCTGTTTACCTCGCAGTTTTTCGTAACATTAAAAGTGTAAAAAACTAAATAAAAAATGTTTTCTCATTGACAACTCAACCTGGCAAGTCTCCTCCCGTTGTTAGCTCCACTAACGTAAACGCTACTAGCCAAGCAAATAAACATGTTAGAGAGGAGCACCCAGCTAGCTGCAGGAAAACTTATGCTGAAAACTTCATTGGTAAATTGTTTCATCATTATTTGAGATTACACTTAGATGCTGGTCTTTTGTTTGTGGGTGCATGTGTTGTAGACCGCCGTGTCTGCTGGTTATCGTACTGTATGAACGGCAGGCCATTGCTGTCACACTGTTTACAAAGTTTGTTGTTGTGCGTGGGTTGATAATGTGTGGTTTTATGGGTTGATAATGTGTGGTTTTATGGGTTGATAATGTGTGGTTTTATGGGTTGATAATGTGTGGTTTTATTGTATTGTCTGTTTGGCTGTGTGGCTGGATGAGCGTCCAACTTCACTGAAAGTTAAACTGTTGTTACCTTCTATCTTTGGTTTCCCGTCCGGCTAATAAAGTCTGCTTTACTTGTTTAATCGGTGGAATATGTGCACAGATATATCAGCACTTGTTCTGTTTAAACATCAGCAGGTCACTCACTGATAAGTCCCTGTCACTGTAATAACACCCTTTGTAATCTGCAGCGGCATTTCTCTTCGTCCCGCCCCGTCTTGTATCTCCATACAGCTGATACTAAACCATAAATGATATACTATATTACTATATAGGCTACGGCATATGCTATATAACCTATAGACAGTTTAAGGGCCCACTATTGGTCCCCGCCCCCTCTGCAATGAGCCACAGGCTCCGCGCCTGGTCTCGAGATAACACTTGTTATGAGTTGATGCTATACAAATAAAAATTGTTTGATTGCTGTCAGGAGTACGGCCATGTTGCTGCAGCTTGCAGAGGAGTTTGAAGATGTGGGAGATGAGGAGGAAATGTTTTTTTTTTGACTCGACTGCTGATGTAGAAACCCACAATCTCACCAAACAGCTTCCCCTTCAGCTGTCAGAAAGAGTGTCAGACCACTAAAATAACATCTGTCCTCTCAAACACGACAGACATTCAGAGTCGTATTCAGGAGGACGAGGAGTTTGACCCTCCGTGATTTGTTTACTTTTTGCTCTCAGACAAAATTATTAAACCTGATCTCAGAAACATCATCACAATCTTCACACATTTAACTGAGCGTGACACAGGAGGACAGAGACGGAGAATCACCATGAACGAGCTCAAATGGATTCAAACTTCTTTACTTCTCACAGCGCTGCTTCAGTTTTGCTGGTAAGAACATTTATATCACATATTTAACCTTTTTTTAAACATGATGGATTTAATGAACTCTGAGAAACCACAGATGAAGAATTATTCTCAAACTGATTGTGAATATAATCAACATTTTATTGATTTAGTTTATTCTTTGTCATTTTCTCAGCAGCAGCTGCTGGAGATAAAGAAGTCACATTCAGAGTTGGAGAGGACGCCACGTTGTCTTGTGAAACTGTGATACAAGGTCAACAGGAGTGTGAATATACGACATGGTTCTTTGTTGATTCAGGAAACACTGTAGTAGACCTGGTTGTAGATGGTCAGGTTGAAATCTCTGGAGTTAAATCAGACAGACTGAATGTTACAGAGGACTGTTCTCTGGTTATAAAGAAGATCAGAGAGGAGGATGCTGGACGTTATGTCTGTGAACAGTACATATCAGGAAGAATAACAGACGATGTGACTCGAGTTCTTCTCTCTGTTACCAAGAGTAAGTATTTCAATAATCTTTTCAAACAAAACTTTTCTAATTCAAACAATAAACTGAAACATTACAATAATTATAAAGACTCTGATGAAGTTAATTTGTCTCTTGTTGTGTTTCTCTTATAATATCTCCATCCTTACTTTGGACTGGAAATACTTAAGATATTAAAATGTTTTTTTTGATTTGAAGTTTGAATTTTATATGAAAACACAAGTTTAGTGCTGAACAGTTTGTTTAGTTGTGTTTATCTCAATTTCAGGTGAGGACGCCAAACCAACAACAACAACAACAACAAGTCCACCACCAACAAGACCACCACCATCAAGACCACCTCCAACAACAACAACAACAACAACAAGTACTGCGGCTGCAGGAGGTAGAGTCTGTTGTCTCCTCTCTTTGTTTGATTCTGATTAAGGACAGAAGTTTGGAGCTAACATGCTGTTGGACACATTGATCCCTATCTGATCTCTTTAGTCCCTCAGTATCTAAACCACCACACTGACAGAAGTGTCTCCCTGTAGTCACAGTGATGGAAAAGAACGACACCTCTGTGCCTTTGAATGTCTTGTTTCACTTAAACAAAAAACCTCCCAGACGGCTCAGCTGACAGGTCAAAAGTAATATCCACCAAATGAGGTCAAATATTTTAACATTATTACCGTCCTCTTTAACTCATTTAATTTACTTTTCGATCTGTAACAAGTTCCTTTTTTCTGTGGTTGAGTCCTTATGTTCTTTCAAAATAAAAACATGTTCATATCCAAACAGGAAATAAAATATCCTTAGCTTAAGAAAGTACAAAATAAAAGCCGAACAAAAATATTTTTTGCAATACAAAATAATGGAATTTCAACCATGTATTTAAAATGCGATTCATCCCAATTAAATTCATTTAATCTTATTAAAGCGTTCGATGTTCAATACAGACACGTGTCATTTTGTGTTTTTTGATTTATCATATCATCTTAAGAACTCAGATCTATTGTCTTTAGAAGACGTTTATGTTTTTTGAAAATACAAAAGTTGTTAGCAAAGTTAAATATTTGCTCTGGTTCCTGTTCATCAGATTGTACAGGTTCTTCTGATCTGGACTTGGTCATGTTGGCTCTGCGTGTGGCTGAACTCCTCCTGATTACTGTGATCACTGTTCTTCTCTTCAGAGCTCGAGGTGAGAAACACTCACACCAACTTTTATTCACACCTATCACCACCAACCTTAAAGTCAGAGCTGAAATGTTTCTGTGTGCTTTATTTTTCAGGGAACCAGAGACCACCTGATGACATCACTGTGAGCTGGAAATAAAGCCTCATATGAACTGTCTTCATATAGAAAAGGAACATTTCTTACCTCCATTTTAACTCGTATGTTTTTGTATTTTCACAGGTGTATTATGATGGAGATGAAGGCTCAGTGAACTATGAAAATGTTGGAGAACCTTCTGCTTCTGTCAGACTCCACTGATCAACAACTTCCACACAAACATCCACTCAGCAGATACATTAATCCACCGCTTTTAATCATTTCTATATCGCACTTTAGAGCATAAAAACATGGATCCACATTTCATTTGAGGCACTAAGTGAGGATCTGATTTAATCTGCTGATGTGAAATATGATGTTGATATTTGTTACAGACTCCTTAACCAAAAGGACGCAAGAAAGGTTTAAAGTTCAACCTGAGCTTCATTAAATGTAAACACCCCCCTCCTCCCAAAGTAATCAAAGATAAATAAGAAACCAAAGAAACAAAAGGGGCTGGAGACCCAGACAAAAAGAACAAAAGATGGGAAGACGCCAAGCCAACCACGTAAATGGGGTGGGTAATTGGGTAAATCTTCAGTTTTTGCCAACTTGGCAGAAAATATATATATTTTTTGTAGATAACTTAATTTGTATAAAGATTTTCAGAGTGAGATGTGTAGCTCAAAAACCTCCTGTATTTATGTCTGTAAAATCCATCATATCAGCCTCTGTGTGAAACGGTTCATTTCAGCTGATGTCTCTTTAAGACCCCCCCCCCCCACATGCCCACTTTCCTCTGATTGGCCAGCTTTGCTGAAACTTCCTGGGGACAGAACCAATTAGCTTCCGGGTGGGCGTGTCCTTGAGAGAGCTGCCTGGGTTGGGCAACTTCTGCAACTTTGCTCCATTCTTTGTTTTTATGCGTCGGTGGCTAAGTTTCACAACGACCTCGTTCAGAGCAGCAGGAAACCACATACAGGGATTACACCAACATCTGTTTATCTTGTGTTTGAAAAAACTTTTCCGAGGTTTAGTATGGACATCCTTCAAGATAAAATTATATGTATGTTTTTAAATTTGGATCAGCATCACAGATCTCTCTTAATGTTCTTCAGTCTGTTATAAACACGTCTTTATTAAATCATATTAAAATGTCATCTGCAAATAAAGAAACATTACCCTCTTAATTCTACTGTGTGCTTTTTGTGACTCCTTCATTAAATTATTGCATATTGCATACTGGGATATATAGAGGCTTTTTAAATAATGTCCCCACATGAGCACAACTACCGTTCTGAATCTAGTAGGAGTGCAAACTCCACAAAGTAAAAACAGATAAAAGAGCAACACAGCTGCAAAGGAACAAAACAGAAATCTTCACACAGGAAGACAGTTTGAACCCTTTATTCTCTCTGGGAGACCACCCCAAAAACAGATTGTGTCTTATATACTGAAGTGACTTCCATCCATCCATCCATTTTTTTCCGCTTATCCGAGGTGGGTCGTGGTGGCAGCAGATGCAGTAAGTCAACCCTCGACCTCTCTCTCCCCAGCAACGTTTTCCAGCTCCTCCTGGGGGATTCCTGAGGCGTTCCCAGTCTAGACGGGATATATTATCCCTCCAGCGTATTTTGGGTCTGCCCACGGGTCTCCTCCAAGTTGGGTGTGCCTGGAAAACCTCTAAAGGAAGGTGTCCAGGAGGCATCCTTATCAGATGAAGGATTTACTTCAACTGACTTCTTTCGATGTGGAGGACTAGAGGCTCTACTCCGAGGTCCGGACCCCTCTAAGCCTGAGCCCAGACACCCTCAGGAAGCTCATTTCTGCCGCTTGTAGGCACAATGTTTTTCTTTCGGTCCTCCCTACTCATCCTCCCTACAAGAGCTTAACGTGGATTTGATGAACAGACCCTGAGTGCTACTGGAAAGTATCATCCTGGACTGAAGTTTGAGTGCTTGCATTACTGTTTTCAAACCACCAGAGGGAGCCAGTGTCATAGATAAAAGCCTTTTGAGAAACGACATGCGTCTGCAGCATAGATTTATCCAGTGTTAAACAATTCACACTGAACTTGCTCGAATTCGGTTCATCTTTTTGGACATTCAGAGCCCAAATAATCACAGAATCATCAAACTGAATTCTTGATTTTATTCACATATTTCCTTATTTATTTAAAAAGGGAATCTGAGCCGATTCAGAGGACTGCAGCCGAGACATTATCCTCCATCTGTGCTCATAACCATGGGAGAAACAATACAGACAGTAATTAAAGATATAATTTATACAAAGACAAACGTCAAAGTAAATCATCATCTTTAAAGTACCAACTTTATTCTGGTGAATTCACAGGGTTTGTATGCATTAATATCTACTGATCTTTAGATTTCAGGTACCTGTAAAGCCCATCAAGTCTTTCTTTTGGATACATCCTGTTTAGTTTCTGTTCGTCACCTCTAATAATAAACATATATTATTTGTTTTGTAAAGTTTTTTCAATTGTTAAAAACTGGGTGGAAGTTGTTGTTTCCATGTCCTTGTTATCTGCTTCATGGCCGTCACTTGCAAAACATTAAAAAGAGAAATATCAGCAGCATTTATTATCTCCGGGAGGTTGATGCTGAAATTATTTTCTAGCTCTAAATGTGTATTTAACTCAAACATTAACATAAAAACTGTCTATTACCTCACTGCTTATTTGAACGCGCTTTTAGATCTCGGTCATTCTGTGTCAATCAACACGCAATGTGAAGCTATGAGCTAACTAAAGAGTGCTAACATTAGCATGCTAACACAACAATGCAGGCCTTAAGTGATTACAGCTTCAGCTGAAGACACCGCTTGCGCTTAATTATGATGAGTTCTTGTTCTAATTTCTAACTCCTTCGTGCGAACGCGGGTGGAGAGGGGTTGGAGGTTTGTTTTGGTTTAATGCTGGTGCTCAAGGGCGACATCTACTGGATCTAAAAAGTCGCACATTCTGCCGAAGTGGAGTGCAAGAAATCAGATACTGCAATAAATATAAAAATGAAGTTTATCTGCATGCAACGTTTCAAACTTTATGAGACTTTCCAACCCTGCTGGGTGTTTAGCTGATAAACATTTGGCAGTGCAGACTTCGTGTGCTATAGGCTTTTTAAAAAACTCTCTATAAGCGCTGACTGAAGCTCCATAGATGAGGAGATGAGTGCCAAACAATCCTTAAGACTCCAGCCAACAAAACAAAAACAAAAGAGACCTGAGGGTGAAATGAACTGTTGATTAAGTTGCACAGATTGTTTTTTTTTATTTACATTTATTAATTTATTCACCTCTTAAAAAGCTGTGACATAACATCTTACAAAGTTTCGACTGATAACTTCCAAACAAAGTTTTTTATCAACATGTTTTTCAGATATGAAGAAGCAAATGTAATATGTTCCAGTTGTTTGTTTTGCCTAAATGCTCTTAAATAATCATGTGGTCAGCGTGCAATCAATTAAAGGTCACATATTATGCTAAATACATTTGACCTTGTTTTTCTAATATGTGTCTCTAGTCCGTCTACAAACCCCCCAATGATGAGAAAAGTTCATCCTCTCCGTCTTATACCTGCTCAACTTTTCAGAAAATCCCCCCTTCATGACATCACAAAGGGCAGTAGCCCCTCCCCCAGGTGGGTGACACTCCCACAGCTAGGTGTTTGTTCTGCCCTCTGAGTCTGCCTTCTTCTAAGCAAATAAAAGTGAAAATGCAACATGCAACTTCGATATTTGACTCTGCAGGTCGAGCAACTTCCTGCTAATCAGCAATACAACACATTTCCTCTATTTGGTTTGCTCTTTTAGTCCTGCATTGTAGGCAGAATTTCCAACGAGGCTGGAAGGAGGGAGTGTTTGCATTCACAAATGCAGCTCACCCCAACTTCATAAGAGGCCAGTTGAGCATATGAAGGCAAATGTGCATCTTAAAGAGGACATATGATCCCCCTCCTCCACCTTTTCAAACAGTCCCCTGTGGTCTAAATGAAACATCTGTGCTGTGCTTTGTTCAAAATATAACATGAATCAAGCACCAGAGGAGGTTTGTGACCCTGTATAAACCAGCTCTCTCAGAACGCTCCATTTTGGTGTGTGTGTCTCTTTAAATGCAATAAGCCCCGCCCCCTGAGTTTTCCCCGGTAGACATTACTCCTCTGTAGTGAGAATAAAAATGGCGGACCTGTGAAAAAGTTTTGCTCTAGGCTGGCGGTGGAGTCCATGGGTGGAGTTACCAGGGGAGGGGAGGGGATATTTTTTTTACCAGAATCCCACTGTGACATCACAAGGAGAGCACATTAGAAACGGAGCATTTTTCTCTGTGTTGTAAGACTTATGCAGAACACAAACAAAGGACTGGATGGGTTTATTTCACATGTTGTGGATCAGTAGACTCTCAGGTTACTCAAATATATGTTCAGAAACACTGTAGAAGGATTTTTCAGCATATGTCCCCTTTAAGTAAAGCCGCTCTGTTGGGCACCAGAGCTGAGAAGTTTCTTTACGTGGAAATCTAAACGGCTTCTCTTTGTGAGTGGGATGTGATGTCTTGACATGTTGGGCTTCGTGCTGTGAGGAGCTCACACTTTAAAGCACTGTGTTCTCTCTTTATCACCCACCTTTGCACAGGTGAATCTTAGGGGCGAGATTTAACAGGTTGTAGCCTAGCCTAGCCCCCCATGTCATAACTCTTTGGCTCTCCCTGTTTTGAATCACTGCCTTACTTGCACTGTGCTGATGTTTCTTCTGTTTTACTTTATATTGTGATGTAGTATTTGTACAGTTCTGCAGCGTTGCTTTTACTTAAAGTAATAGAGAAGTATTTCCTTTCCCTCCTATCGTCTATCCTCCAGCAGGTCTACAGAACGTGTTGTAAAAACTAATTTGATTCTGCTGATGGAAAAGAGAGAGAGAAATTAGAGACCCCCCTTCCTCCCTTACTCTCCTCTTCCTCCTCCACCTCTTCCTCCTCCACCTCCTCCTCCTCCGTCCTCCTGCGGCCGGGCGGTCGATCGGTTGGTGTCGATGTTGTAAGCGGCAGGACGGAGGCTAGGGGTTCCTCACTCTGACCCTGGCTGCTGCCTCCCGGCGAGCGTGGGGCGCCACGACCCCGCCAGAGGCAGCCCAGTCTGAGAGAGAGCGTGTCTCGGAGGCCAAAGGTCATCTCGCAAGCAGCTTCACCTCCTTGCTGGCTGAGCCTCGTTAGCACTCCTCCTCAGCACACACACATTTCTCCTCAGCAGACTTGAGCTCTGGCATTGGTCCACTGCTGCCCCGCTGGAGGGGAGGAAGAGCGAGAGAAACTGTAAAGAAACTTAACAAACCAGACATTAGAAACATCCTGCTCACACTTCTTCAGTACGAGGGTTTTTTTTTTCTTTTTTTCAATTTTTAGACCAACAGCAGCTAAAATAAACTAGAATCTTCTGCCGGGGTTGATCAACTCTCTGACACCACAAACCATCTGACATCGAGCGGGGGCTGTTCGTTAAAGTGCTCGCAGTTCTGATGAGAAAGAAACCAAACTTCACGCAGACATTCTGCTGCTTGACTGGAAGTATGACCAGACTGTGATGGTTCTTTCCAAGAAGTTAAAAGTCCAAGTTGAACCCCACAAAAGTTGAGATTCAAGTCTTGGGCGGGGGAGCTGGTGTAGCTCAGTTGGTAGAGCAGAGGCTCGATGTATTGAGGCTACAGTTCCTGTCTCAGCTGTCACAGGTGGTCTAAATGAAACATCTGTGCTGTGCTTTGTTCAAAATATAACATGAATCAAGCACCAGAGGAGGTTTGTGACCCTGTATAAACCAGCTCTCTCAGAACGCTCCGTTTCGGTGTGTGTGTCTCTTTAAATGTAATGAGCCCCCCCCGAGTTTACCCCATAGACATCACTCCTCTGTAGTGAGAATAAAAATGGAGGACCTGCGCAAAAGTTTTGTTCTAGGCTGGGGGTGGAGTCCATGGGTGGAGATATCGGGGGGGGATTTGTTTTTACCAGAATCCCACTGTGACATCACAAGGAGATCACATTTGAAACAGAGCATCTTTCTCTGTGTTGTAAGACTTATGCAGACCACAAACAAAGGACTGGATGGGTTTATTTCACATGTTGTGGGTCAGTAGACACTCAGGTTAAACAGATATATGTTCAGAAACACTGAAGAA